ACAACGTGTGCTAACGGGGAGGGGGGGGCGCCGGAATTTGGGGAAAATAAGGTAAGGGAGGGAGAATAGGGGACTGATGATGCGAAATATGGAAGAACAAGAGAGAGAGAGAGAGAGAGAGAGCGGAGAGAGGAGAGAACAAGAAGAAGAAGAAGAAGAAGAAGAGTAGAGGCTGAGGCAGGTTTAGCTTACCCCTGAAATCGTCGGCGAATTCAAGTCGGCGCTTTTCCAAATCCAACCAGCAAGCAGATTTTTAAAAGGCGACTCTTCGGATGTCTCCCGCGCGCCAAGCCGCTTCGTCATCCGCTCATGCGCCGCACCAAAGGCATCGTATTTGTTTGAAGATGTTCCCGCGCTCTTTTCTCTTTCAGCATTAGCGAGATCCCGCTCTTTTTTTTTTCTTTTCTTTTTTTCAGCATCCGCAAGGTCCCGCTCTGTTTTTCGGCATCATCGTGGTTGTGCTACAAGAGTGCATTGGGAAGTGACACATGTATACTTACTATTTTTAGGGCGGGCGTACTCACACTGGCTCTATCTTTAATGTATCTGACGGTATTTATCGCCGTGCTTGCATGCACTTGACCGCAATCACGTCCTTAAGTGGAAAAAAAAAAGGCCCTAGTGTTGAGTATGCACGTAGCCAGTGCCTAAATGGACCTACAATGTCTCATCCACAATGTATGCATCTGAGTGTATTTACCGCCGTACATGCATGCATCTGACCGCAATCTCGTCCACATGCCTTGGGTTCCAAAAAGTCATGCTTTGCCGACCCTGCTCACACTTTTTCTCCCCTCTGAGTCTGTTCCGCCGGCCGCCGCGTGGCGGCTGTGCCCATCCGCCGCTCCGCGCGCCGACAGCCCATCCGTCGCCCCGCGATCTTCCCCGCTCTCATTCAAGACGAAGGTGTGCGTGCCGACGGCGCTGGGCGCGCGAGAGATTAATGACCTACAATAGAGGGCGAGAACCCGCCAACAGGAACAAAGGGGGAGGGAGAGGAAGAGGACGAAGGAGGGAGAGTAGAGAACGCGATGGGAAGGGGAAAAGGGGAGGGAAAAGGGGAGGGGAAAAGGGGAGGGGAAAATGAGGCAGAGAAGAGCGCTCGGCGATCGTTCCACCAATGACTCCGAAGGCGAAAGAGGTCCCACCGCGGCAGTGCAGAGAGAGCGAGAGAAGAACGCACTTGAAGAAACGGCAAGAGAGGCAACAGCGCAAGGAAGGGGAGCGAACGGGCAAGGAAGGGGGCGGGCGAGGGAGAAGGGAAGAAAGCCAACGAGTGCGCACCCTCACATATAGAGGATGTTCAGGAAACACAGCAACAGAGCGCGAGCCAGGTATAGCTCAACAACGAGGCTTCGACAGTGGTACAGCTGTTCAAGCGGCACCACAGCACGTGGCATCAGCAGTAGACCATTCCACGTCATCCAGCCAAGGGCAATCTCCCTGCAATGGTTCCCGCGCGCTCCCAACCCCCC